AGGGAGCCCGATGTGGGACTCGATCCCAGGACTCTGGGATCATGACCTGAGCCGAAGGCAGACGCTTAACGACTGAGCCACCCAGGCGCCCAAGATTTATGAATTTTTAAAAAATGTTTTATTTATTCATTTGAGAGAGAGAGAGAGAGCACAAGCAGCAAGAGAGGCAGAGGGAGAGAGAGAAGCAGACACCCTGCCGAGCCAGGAGCCCGACGTGGGGCTCGGTCCCAGGACTCCAAGATCATGACCTGAGCTGAAGGCAGACGCTTAATGACTGAGCCACCCAGGCACCTCTATGATTTTTTTTTAAGTGAGTTATATCCCCAATGTGGGGCTTGAACTCATGACCCCAAGACCAAGTCACCTGCCCTACCAACCGAGCCAGCCAACTGCCCCTCCCAGAGAAAGATTTAGTCTTAGACACATGCCATGTGGTCAGTGCCTTTGGTTTAGCTACAGCCTCAACTCTCCTCACACTGACCTCAGACTCCCCCGCAGCTCCCCAGGTCACACAGACTGGCTCTGCCCTGCCTGCATTAGTAAGTTAGTGGTGCAGGGACCAAAATTAGGTGCCTAAGGGTGACAAACACCCTGAAGGTATTTCACAGACACACACAGGTCCAGACACCAGACTCTCATCCCTCAGACCCTGGCAGCCCTCAGCTGGGGGAGTGCAGTAGCTCCCCAGAGTGTCTGAGGACTGCCCTGGTCACTGAAGAATCTGAACGGGATCAGGGAGAGAACGGGAGCCCCTCCCACAGATGACCATGCATCTCAGGGGAAGAGTCCCATTGGGCTGCCCGTGAGATCCAGACTGGCTGGTTTCCGCTGGGAATGCAACTGTTGAGAAAAGAGGGAAAGGAGGAGTAAATATAGGTTTGTTTGTTTGTTTTACACAGAACAAGAAATTTTATTATCTTGAATGCTGGTGCATTCAAACAAATAACAAGCTTAATCAGAAGAGGAGGCAGAGGGAAACTTCACATACGGAGGTGGATTTCTGGGCAGGTTTAAAACCTTTAAAAGTTGAAGGCATAATTGTTCAGGCTTTTTTCAGATGGAAGGCTTCTCTTTTACTTGACATTTTCACTTTAACAGTTGTTATGTTATGAAGTTCAACCAAAGTCTTTCACCTGTAAGGTTAAATGGAAAACAGAGTTGAGTAAAACAATTTCTCTAGTATATTAAGAGTGTTAGAAAGAGTTTGTTTTCTTTGTTCTTTCATATACGTGGTAATGTCTAACTTTGAAATTTTCTTACAGATGTCTTAATTTTTGAGTTTTTAAAAATGGCAAGATCATGAATTTTCTTGATTTATAGATCATAGTAGCTTCATAAATGACCAAGACACATGTACAAACAAAATTTCAGATGCTCTCGAAAACATATTTTGAGATATAGCACATGTGATACCTATTTCTTTTTGGGTTTGCTTATCCTTTTGGTATACTGAAGAATACCCAATTTAAAATACAAGTATTTTTGGGCATGGAGCCTACCAAAAAAAAAAAAAAAAAAGGAAGGAAGGAAGGAAAGAGGAAAAGAAAGAAAGAAAGAAAGAAAAAGGGGGGCTGCCTGGGTGGTTTAATCAGTTAAATATCCGACTCTCCATCTCAGCTCAGGTCTTGATCTCAGGGTCATGAGTTTAAGCCCCGCATTGGGCTCCATGCTGAGCATGGAGTCTACTCAAAAAGAAAAAAAAAAGGCATTTTTAAACGATCAAGAATTGGAAAGGATTTTTAAACTTTTGTATACTGCCTTTGCCTTTTCCAAATCCCTTGGGCATCCAGATCCCTTGGCCCCCAAAGGTGAGAGTGGGAGTTGAAACTATGGAAGCTGCCTTCCCAGAATTTACTCAGATTCTTGGGGCAGGGGTCAAGAATCCGTTTGCTCTAAAGAATGCAGGACATATATGTTGATTTGACGTCTTCTCATTTTTGTGCTTGTTTTTTGGTCTCATTGTATTTTTACCAGGAGAGAAGATCCAAGAAAAGCAAAGAAGGAAGATACCTTCATGAAAGTGACACAGTTTTAAGGAGTTCCAAGAACTAACTGCTAATCAAAGAGCAAGATAGAGGAAGGAAAATCAGGATCATCCCCAGATATTGGAAAGATCTGTAAAATAAATAAAATAAAGATATAATGGAATCATGGATCCTATTTACAATTGCAGTACTAAGTAACTATGAAATATCTACAATTAATCATAATGAGAAGTTTGAGAAAAGTCATAATACTTAAAAATATTTTTTTATTGGGGCACCTGGGTGGCTCAGTCGGTTAAGCGACTGCCTTCAGCTCAGGTCATGATCCCAGGGTCCTGGAATTGAGCTCTACATCGGGCTCCCTGCTCGGCGGGGAGCCTGCTTCTCCCTCTCCCACTCCCCCTGCTTGTGTTCCCTCTCTCACTGTGTCTCTCTCTCTGTCAATTAAATAAATAAATGAAAAAAATATTTTTTTATTCCTGAAGTCTCGTTGATATACAATGTTATATTAGTTTCAGTTACACCACGTAGTGATTTGACAATTCTATACATTAAAAGTCATAACATTTTAAAAGGAATCATAGTAAAATATTTGTAAAATTGTAGATCTCTAGCATGTTTCTGGATAGAAAGGTAGAATAGTATTTAAAAACTTTGATTCTGCCCCAATTAATTGGCAGAGTAATTGATGGAGTAATTACAATGGAAAACTCCATTCTTTTGGGACAACTCAAAAAAGAGTTCCAAATGTATCTACAAATTAGTGATAGACAAAATTATTCAAAAAAATGAGGCTCATGGAGGGAGGGTGGGGCAGGTTTTTGGGGCAGCATATGCTGGAATGAGAGGCAATAGGTTTAAAACATGAATAGCAGATGCATTTACAAATCCAAAGAAGTCCAGAATGATATGGTAGCATGTTTGACACTTAAAGTTTAATAATTAGGGCATCATAAATCACTGGTTGAAATAAATGATTACATAATAAGTACCATTAACTGACTTTATAAATAAATGCCTAATAATTTAACTTAATTCTCTAAACCAAAAAAATACTCCATGTGATTAAAAAGATATATAGAACAATTAAACCATGTTATTCAATACAAAACCTGGCTACAAAATCTTGGGATTACAAAAGTGTTCCGCATAGTAAAGCAAATGCCAGTTATGTAAGTAGAGGTAGATTGGACTACTTATTTAAAACCTCTCTTGGACCAGCTCTAGAGAGAGGAGAAATAGGAGAAATCTAGAATAATATTCATAAAAATGATAAAAGCTGTTAACCTTTAGTAGTGTACCTTTATGAGATTTTTATTTTCTTTTTTTATAAGTCTCTGTGTTCTAAGTTTAAAAAGGATAATGCAACATTTTAAAATATTATAAGGATTCGTCAAAAATAAATCGCAGGGGCACCTGGGTGACTCAGTCGGTTAAGTGTCTGACTCTTGATTTCAGTTCAGGTCATGATCTCAGGGTCGTGAGATAGAGCCCTGCATTGGGCTCCAAGCTAGGTGTGGAGCCTACTTAAGATTCTCCCTCTCCTTTTGCCTCCCCTAAAAAAATTGCAAAAGACAAATTAAAAATTTTCAAAATGGCTCTATATTAATATATGTATCTAATAAATACTCATGAAAAGAATACATAATTCAATATTAAATAGTCAAAAGGCAGGAACATAAAATTTTCAAAAGAAAAAAGTCTTATAATAATGCAAAACTGTACAAAACCACTGGAATTTAAAGACATTCAAACTAAAATAAAATACCAACTTTTATTTCCAAAAGACCAAAGATCTGTAAATAGAAATTTGTTAATTGATGGCAGGATTATAAAATAACACATGCTATAGAACTGCTTAAAACACTGGATGGTGTCATTATAAAGAGTGCTAAAAATCTTTAATTAATTCAGCAATCATTTATTCAGTATATAACAGTTACCAAGCAGTATGCTGGGAACCTTGGATACAAAGAGGAAAAGAGGGGTGCCTGGGTCACTCAGTTGGTTAAGCATCAGACTCTTGGTTTTGGCTCTGTTGGTGATCTTAGGGTCATGAAACTGAACCCAGCGTTGGACTCTGTGATGGGCATGGAACCCACTTAAGATTCCCTTTCTCCCTCTGCCCCTCACCCCCTCAAACAAAAAAGACATGATCATGATATCAAAAATATAAAAAAGGAAGGAAACTTGGTAAGTGAATGAAGATAAATTGCTATCAGCAGAAAAAGGATTATTTTATGAGATGTTTTATGTAGACCTCGTGGTAACCACAAAGCAAAAATCTAGAGCAGAGACACAAAACATAAATAGAAGGGGAGACTGAGCAAATCACCATGGAAAACCACCAACTTACTAAAGTAGACAAAAACAAGAAAAAGAAACAAGGGAGAAACAAAATAACCAGAAAGGAAAAGATGAAATGGCAATAGTAAATTCTTAACTATTGATAATTACCCTAGATGAAATGGATTGAACTCACAAATCAAAAGGCACAGACTGGCTGAATGGATTAAAAAAATAATACCCTAATATATACTGCCTGCAGGAGAATGAAAGTGTGGAAGATGATATTCCGAGCAAGTGGAAATGAGAAGACAGGTGTAGCCACACTTACATCAGACAAAATAGACTTCAAGCCAGAAAGGTAAAAAAAGACTAAAAAAACATTATTATATGATATCAAAGGGATCAATACATCAAGAAGATATAATAATCATAAATATATATGCTTCAACACCTAAGCATTGAAATATATTAAGCAATTAATAACAGATCTTAAGGGAGAAACAGACAACAATACAATAACTACAGAAGATTTCAATAACCCACTATCAGCAATAGATAGATCAGCCAGACAGAAAATCAACAAGAAAATATTGGAATTGAACCACTCTACAACAAATAGACTTGGTAGACTAGAACATGCCACTCAACAGCAGCAGAATACATCCCTTTCACCCAACATTCAAAGATGTGCAGTCTCATACTTTACTCATTTCTTTAAATTATTGAATATCTAAATGTTTAGATATAAACAAAGCAATTAAAAATTTCATGGTTTAAATCGCTCAAACAAGCCAGACCCCACCTTCACTCCATTGCTGGGACAAGACCCATGCTGGTGCCCTTGTAGAAACAAGTTTTAAAACACACTGGTGAGGGTGACTCAGGGTATGGACATGGGCTTCTGGGACTCAGACAATTACCTTAGTGATCACAGTTTTGTGCCAATTAAACACTAGTCTGAGCCTAGACAAACCTACTCAGCATCGGTTCCTTGAATCCTTTCTCTGCATAGCTAGTGCAATAGTCCAAATTTCTTTATTCCCCGAGTGACCAGTAATCGTATTTGCCTAATTATTTGCCTAATAATTAATAACACCCTCTTTTGATGTCAAAAGTATCCCACTGAGGATGAAAACTTTATGGTCACTCTATATATTCTTGACTGGAAGGAGGCTACATATCAGAGTTTGGAGAAAGAAATCATTAGCAATGCATTCAAGCCTTTTGATGATGATTAAAAATTTTATTATGAACCCTAATCTGAGACACTGACCTTGAGTCATATACAATGTCATCCAGATTATTATCTGCCAAACCTCCTTTAGGATCATAGAAACAATAAATAATTGGGTAAAGAGAAGAAAATAATGAGCCATGCTCACTGTCACAGACTAAAAACTGTTTACTGGAGACTGCATAATATCTGTAACAAAAGCCCTTCCCTATTCCTACACAATTTTAAAAGGACTCTCAAGATGTCAGTCTTCCCAACTCGATCTATAGATCCAATGCATCAAAATCAAAATCTATCCAAATTATTTTGTAAATATCAAATAATTCTAAAGT